CGATTGAAATCGATGCAAATCGTTAATAGTTATACAAAAGCGATATTCCGGATATCTGAGTGTCCAATTAATATTCGACCTTTTTTCTATTTTTAAGACCCTTTTTTATATCTTTGAAGGACTTTGGCATAACTTGTAATTTGGCCGGATACATTCAAGTTTGTCGATAAATTTCGATATCGATAATTCAATGAATTTCAAACACACTAAAATCTGCTGTAGTATTCGACGTTTAAAAATGTTTTGGATATCTTTTACGGCTGTCAGTTTTCAAAGTTTCAAAAGGACTGGCTTTTCTGGAGAGTGGAATATTTCGAATTTAAGAGGTTGGAGACATACTTGGACTAACTATTAAAAAGTTGGTAAGCCTTAAGGTACTCCTTTCTAAAATTTTCGAGTACCCTCTCCAGCTTTGTTTAAAACTTTGTTATTTTGTCATTATAAAAGTCAAAGTTGGCCTTTTATCCACGGAAACAATTTTTTCTGAGTCCTTCTTGACAACTTTCTGACTTGAAGACTCAAGCCTAAGCAAACAACCACACGATACCAGGATACGAGCAGTCGAAGAGTTAACAAGGCAGTTATAAAATATCTATGCTAAAAATAATGTCAAAATGTCAATCAGAGACATCATACACAGATACTCTGTTCCTCCATATTGACAGAACATCCACTGAAGATGAATATCTCGAAGGATGACTGACCAAAAGAAAAAGCGAGTAAAAAAAGTTCCAAACGGATCAGGACAATTTTTTTTTGACGTTTTGTCGCCATGGATGAGACGTGCATTCACTATTTTGATTTTGAAACGAGGCAACAATCCATGACTTGGAAACGAGTCTCATCCCCGACGCCGAAGAAACTCAAATTATAGATTTTTTTCCTGGGCTTAGAAAAAAAATACGGACTAAGCGTATTGACATGTAAGGGGACTACGTAGAAAAAAATTATTTTTTTTCAACTGAAATCCACGTGTGTCACTTTCATTTCCAATATTTTTTGTTCACCCCTCGTATATGCAGATATGTATGTATATTAGGTTGGTCCTTAAAAAATCAAATGAACGATTTTATTTCAGTCTCACCGACTCAGTCGGTAATACCATGGTCACAGATATCACATATAAATTTTGGACCCGACTGGAGATGGTTAAGGCGTGTCGCAGAGGGGGCAAAGTTCAGATTCCGCAATGGAGATTCACGAATTAAAATTACTTTATTACTACCTTAGTCGAAGATATCACATATAAATAGTAGCATCGACGTTGGAGTTGAGACTTAGGAAATCTAATGTAAAAATGTGCTTCCTACATTTACTAAGTGCCACCCTAATACACATATGTATAAGGGGGTATGAAAATAGTTGTACTTCCTTCCTCCAGTCATAAGTGTGTGTGCATTAATGAAACAATGAAACACATCAAAGCGTAAAACGCTGTCGAGCTGACTTTAATAGTGACAGGTGTTGCATGCACTCATTTATTGCATGAATATCACTTTTTGCTCTTATGTACACACATACATACATATGTATTTAAACCCACACAGTCAAAAACTTCTAAACCAATTTCATTTATGCTACTTCATCGCCATGTACATACGTATCCAGCAGCCTGCGTCTACTATTGGCTCTTTTTTGAAAGCAAGCTGTTGTTCATTGTTATGCTTTTTTGTTTGTTGCTATAATCGCTTTTGAATTTTTTAAATCCACACTTTTAGCTGTCAGCTGGGTTGTTGCTTTCAGGCAGCCTCAAGCTGGGAGGTTTCTTCGTTGTTCTTGTATGCTTGCTTATTTCGGTGTAGGTTCGATGCCTGGGCATGCGTAACGTAACTTTGAAAGGATTGTTGTTCAAATGATACTGATAAAATTATCTCATAAAAATACTGATTCATGTATTGTGTTGCTTACCTTTTTCTAGGAAGAAACAAGTAAGAAAGTCTAAGTTCGGGCGGAGCCGAACATTAAATACCCGGCGCAAGTATTAAATATATGTTTCTTCACCTTTCCGAAAGCTACCGCTAGATGGTAAGCCGGGGTGTATAAATATTAAGTAAATTAGCGTCCTTCAATTGCTAGAACTGTTAGCGATATACATATATGTGATCATAAGTGGGCGGTGCCACGCTCATTTTCCAAAGTTTTATCATAAACGTATTTCTTGGTAAAGAATTTTTGCAAGCATTAATTTTGATTTTAAAAATTTTCGGCCGTTTGGTATGCTGTGCCAGGGCCAACAACTGTGCCAAGTTTGTAAGAAATTGGTGCAGCGGTTACCAAGATATACACATGTAACCATAAGTGGGCGTGGCTACGCCCATTTTCCAAAAATGTTTAATATTCTTATTTTTCGTCTGAAAATTATCGTTAGTATCAATTTTGAGTGAATAATCTTCCGTACTTACTAAAATATCGCAGTTTTCGTATTTCCGTTATATGGGAGGTAGGCGTGGTTACTGTCCGATTTCGCCCATTTTCAATACCATCCGTCCTATGCTCAAAATAAGTGCACGTACCCAGTTTCGTTAAGATATTTCAATTTGTACTCGAGTTATCCCGTGCACAGACGGACGGACGGACGGACAGACAGTCACCGCTTATTCGATTTCTCCGATCCGAAATATTTTATTATTTGCAAAAATATACTTTTCGAATATTATGATGAAATAAAAAAAAATATATGTCCTCTGTTTTTGATATAGAATGTAAACAAAAAAAAATATTTCATGCCAAACATAAAACATTGAGGTGTAAATTTTGTATGAAAGAACCCCTTTGCTTTTTTATTATGTTATCTCAACGGCTGCTGTAGTGCAGAGCACATTGCGCTGCGGACCACAGCTATTACATTTTTTTAACATTCTAGTACTCTTATGTAGATAATCATTTTGGTGGCGAAAGAGCTACACTGCGACTGTACTTGTGGCCAGAATAGATCTATTTCTATTTTTTCAGCGGCAGATAAGGCTCTTCCTCTAATTTTATGTCAAACTCATACAAAAGCATGATGTCGCTGCCTCGTTCAAAAAATTCATGCCACCATCGACCAAGCGTTTTGATAATGAAGATAACAAATTGGAAGCTGAGGCCCGTAGCTCGTCGTTTTCAATGTGTTCAACACTTGTAGCTGAATAGTTGTGACTTAATAATAAAATTGTTTAAATTTCCATAGCTAGTGCTTCAGCTGGAAGATGGAGAGGCTTACAATAAGCGAAATTTAGCGGAAAGAATGAGATAAAATAAAAGTCCTTTAATTTGTTAGCAAATTATGAAGCATACTTTCAATAACACTCTTGTGAATGTGTATCGCCTACAAGGACGATGCAGCACTTTGGAAACTACCAAAGATTCCTTTTTGACCAACTATTTTGAGTCAACTATTGGTGGCCACCTCCGCTAAGGAATCAACAGGAGGGCATAATATACATATATTAATACTGCAAGTATTTAAGTTTTCTTCCCGATTTTGTTTTTCGGCTTGCGAGAGAGGGATTTCTGGACATACATAGGTAGCATTTTTCATTGAAAGAACTTGAAATAAGAATGTTGTTTCTTTTGTTTCATTGAAAATCAAATTTCTGAGCTGTGATCTTTTCACTTCTCAAAAGAAACGCAAAAATCACACATACTTTTATACTCAAAATAAGTGTCCGCAGCAATATTGTGCTTTTACTTTCTGTGCAACATTTTCAATTCTTGTCAATAATGTTGCAACACAATTGCATTTCAAAAATATGCAACGAAGCAACCAACAGCCAAGCGGATAAATGCAACATTTCAGGTTGGAAAATATCGTTCTATCATCGCTTTGGGTTTTCTTTTTAATCAAGCACATCGCAGGGCGGCAATAAAAGCGAAAGAAGGAAAGTTTATGCAAAGTAAACTATTTATTACAGTACTAAGGGAAATGCAGCAAGCAAGGCTTAGCATATAGGGGCACGGACTCGCAGTGTAACCAATTAAATATGCTGTAGTTTTGTTTGGCTTTTTATTTATTTACATAGAACCATCGGTTCTTCATAAAAACTAGTCGAATTTTAAAAAAGTTTATTACTGTTCGATGTAGCCACCTTTAGCGCGGATAATAGTATAGAGTCTGTGCGGGAATGTTTCACGGGCTGCACTTTTCTTAAAATTCGACAGGTTTTTATGATGAACTTATGATTTTTAATAAAAAGACAAATTAGACAAAATTACAGCATTTTCAATTGGTAACAGTTCAAGTGCCTACCTCCGCACTGAGCCAAAAGTACAAGGGTTTCTTCAACCAAGTTATGGTTTGATTTTTTCACGGTCATTAAGCCGATGTGAATCAAGTTGAACATTTGAGAAGAAATTCGTATGTATGGCAGTGGCTGAACGAGCAGAGGAGCTTGCTGTTATTTGTTCGCTTCCAGCAGCACGAATGCCGTCAGCGCTATACATAATTTTTATTTTTTTTGTGTTTACGAAAAAGCCTCTGTAAAGTGCAGAACCAAATCAAACCACGAAGAAAATTGATTCAAGTTGAACATTTGAAGTCATATTTATAAATCGGCTGTAGCTGAGTGTGTAGAGATGCTTGCTGATATAACAGCAGCTAATCCCACCAGAGGAAACATGTTAAAATGATAATACAAATTTTTGTTTTGTATCTCCGAATTATGAAAAAGCATCTGTGAAGTGCAGACCATAAACTTATTCAAATGAAAAATCCCCAACCAAGAGTTTGGTTAATTTAAACAAAATTGTGGTTAATATTACTAATCATTGTTAAAAATATCAACCAACGCATTGTTAATATTAACCAAAAATCACGTTGATTCCTTTCCAAGTTTGAATTTGGTAATATTAACCAATTTTTGGTTGATTTTTCTCTCAGTGTGAATATCCACTACAGTGTCATTCAGGTGATCTTGTATGTACAAATAGGAAAATTCGCAGGAATTGGTTAAGCTGTTTAGAAGGAGACTTGTATACATACATATATACAAAAGACCTTTTTTTTTGGTAAATTTACTCACCTTCTATGCTTATTCCATATGTTGAATACAATAAGTGCTAAGGCTACTAATATACCACAACTTGAAATTGTACACATACAGACAAATAATGGCAGCGATACATTGCGTAAGACGCGTCGTACAATTGTGCGATCCTGAGGTACCTGTAAATTAACGAAAGAAAATTTAGAAATGGAAACTTTGAAGTATTTATTTATTTTTTATATTGAAATCGGGTTTGTCTTTTGTTTAAAAATTACTTGCTCGTTTTTTCTTCTTTGCCTTCAACAATAGAAACAATCAGTTTAAATATAAATTAATGATAAATCAGTCCGAAGACAAAACGCTGGAAGAGTGTGCCCTTTTTTTTCGGATTGTCGGAGGACAGAAAAAAGATTAAGAAATATTTAATTTTTTTTGTAATAAGAAAACAAAAATATAAAACAGTTTAAAATAAAATGCAGAAAATCTGTAGCTATCAGCTAATTTCTTTCTGAAATTGCCTGAACTGAAGCAGCAACAATGCGAACGCATTTTAAAACGTATCTGTAAAGATAGGTTTTATGTCATACATTCGTGCCAAGAATGAATTCAAAATTAGAAATAGTAGCACTGACAAATTTAGTTCAATGAAAATATCGAACTAGGGAAACAGTTCATTGAAATGAACTAGTTATTTAGTTTAGTTTAGTCCGGAACTACCCAAGCCTATTGCTGACAAATGCCCTCAGAAAGCAAATCAGCATTTTCCCAAAACTTAAGAATTTTTTTAAATGACAAACTTGAACTCCTTTTTGAGTCTGAAAAAAGCGCATAGCCCGACGCTAAATTCCATGCTTTTAAAGCAAAAAGCAAGTACATACAACAAATCTTATGCTGCAAACAAAATCAATCAATCCTTCTGACTTTGCCATTAAAGAAAAAATTTCACTGGAAAAGTACAAACAAAACGAAAGAAGCAGAAGAAAACGAATTGGCACAAATTGGCATTCCGCAAAATTAGCATTCGGAAAAATTACAAGCGAAAGCAATTTAACTGCTGCAATGCCATGCAGATGTCAAACTACAAGCAAACTGCAAAGGGGAAAGTAAGATCGAATCAAAGGCAGCAAAGCAAGCAAGCAAGCGAGTGAACAAGAAAGTCGCTGAGGTAACTGAGGTTATGTAATATTCAAATATGCAACTGCCAGCAGAGAGTTGTGTAGCAAGTGGAACAACTTCATCAGTAATTAAGGCAATCGAACTGTCATTGATGCTGTGTGGCAAGGCAAGCCAGTGGTTGATCGGTGTGGGTAGAATGATACGTGGGGCAGGGTAGCAAACCTTCACTTGAGTAAAAGTGTAGCAGAGCAAAAGAGCAACGATTAATTGCAACGTACTTGTGACATGGAATGCTCGAGAGCAGGAAGTTTTTAATGAATGCGCAGAGAGTTGGAATGCAAGCAAAGTTTTTTCTTAGTTTTATTGTGGGAACGGGAAATAGTGAAAGTTAAAGAAATAAACAAAGTTTTTCACAATTTTTTAATGCTTCAGTTAGAGTTATTGTAAGGATTTGAGAAATACTCTTGTGAGATATTTTGAGTCTGAAAATTTGATTTTTATTTTTAAAACTTTTAAAAACTTAAAACTTTTGCAAGTGCTTTTAATAGTTTATTGTGAGAACTCTCCAGTTTTAAAGCGTGGGGTCAGTTACAACCAAAAGGCGCTTGTATTAAATATGACGAATTTAATTCAGGAGCTTTTTTCGAGGTTATTTCAGTTTCTCTATTTTTCACTTTTAAGCACCGATAATTTTATTTTTGGTGATTTGGAGAGTTTTTTTTTGGGATTTCGTCTCAATCACAGTTGATTCCCGATTTTTTTTTTTAACATTTCTTGATTTTTTTCAGGACTTATAGGACTATTTAGGTGTTTTTAGGGTTCTTCCAGTATTTGTTGGGGCATTTCGGGTTTTATTTACTGAGCTTTAGGGATTTTTCGGGACATTTGACGCTTTATTGGAGAATGCCCGGGAGGTTTTTGGGTTTATTTTTAGATACATATATGTACATACATACAGTAGCGAAAATATAAATCATGATGTAGAACTATGTACAAAAATTAGCAAAATTCGGTAATTCAAAATTTTTAGCTTCTTAAAAACATTCTGAGAACGCAGTTTTGTAGCCAATTCAATTTTAGAATAAAAAAGTGCAAACTTTAAGTATTTGGAAATTACCGTTGGTGATTTTTGGCAATCGTTTTTGTAGAAGGTGTTGCTCATTTTCTCTATACAAAAAATTGTCGAGCATACGGTAAGTCCTAGCTACTTTAAGCTTGCACTTGCATACTTAGAAAAATTCTTAAAAAAAAAAAAACTGATTAAAAAGTTTAAAGCTTTTATCTAAATTTGTTAAAATTCGTAGAATTTTTAAAAATGTTCTACAATGTTTGAAAGTTTGATTCAAATATTTTTTTAGATAGTAAGCTATATGTGTATATATAAATAAGTTAATAGTAAAAAGAAATATTTTTAAAGCAAGCTTCCTAAATACGAATGAAATCGAACCATAAATACTGGTTTACCAAATACATCGCTTCATGCGACACCTACCGGCAAAATCTTACGTACAGTTATTCCTTTTCAATGTACGTTCTATATATGAACGACATTTGACTATACATAAATACGGGGTTTTCAAATATCTAGACTCCTGCGCCAACTATCGGATTAACTCAGCTTTCGAATTGCGTTGTCATCGGGTTCTGAGCCAACTGTGAAGTTTCAATTGTCTAGGTCATCGGGAAATCGATTGCAAAATTTGCCCCTAACAAACATATGTACTTGCATACATACATACAGAGCAAGTTAAATTTTTCAACAAAGAAAATTAGCCAAAACAAGCTAAGAGGTCTTTTCCCTTTTACCTTCTCGCCACCGTATCTGCATTTATGTAATCTTATTTTCTATTTTTTATGAATGCCTAAAAAATAAAATTTCATTTTTATTTTTGCCAAACAACAGATTAGAAAAACATCCCATTTCATTTCTACAAAACAATTCCAGCTTAAGAGCCCTTAGTTCATCTGTACAAGGTATTTCACTCATTGCTGCCGCACTCCTCCTCTAACTTCTTCAAAATGCAATTTGCACCATTTTCACCGTGAATATATCATTCACACTCGACTGCGCCCAACATGCCACAATCGAAGCGTACTTAATGCAACAGCATTTTTTTTTTTCGTCCAGTAACACAAATCTGAATTCGAATCCGAGTCCGTATTCGAAACTATGCAAATTGCTCACACCTATGCTGAGTGCCATGAACAAGTGTGCTCAGTGAGAAAAAAATTTGTATTTAAAAATACTTCTTGCGGATTGCAGCTGCACACTTGAAACGCTTAGCAGCCAGCAATCAATTTCAAATAACTGCGGCATAGCTAGGTGACCGCCGACCCATTCCCCCATGCCCGTCTGTTTGGGTCTGTGAAAGTGAGTGTTGTGCATGAGAGTAATCAATTTTCATTCGCCACACTTCGAAATCGCTTCCTACACACACACACACACACACACACACACACACAGGTACAAATGAACCTTTCAACAACAGTCCGTCCGTCTCTTTAACTAACCAAAGATAACTGGCTCTGTGACTGTCTAACTCCACCTGGCTATTAAAATGTCGAACGAATACCGAATAGATAAATGTGAGTGCAAGAAAAAAAGTGAGTGGCTGACTAAAACCCACACAGCACAGCAGATATTCGTATATATATTTGCCAGTGTAGGCGTTTGCGTTGGCGTTGGTGTTGCGAATTCAATTCAAAGCTCACTGGCGCTTGGCAAAGTGCACTTTTCACATCCATTTGCCGCTCGAAATCAAATAATCCTTCGCTTTCACGAATACGCTTCTATGCTTTTCAAGTTACTCAAACCCTTGTCGTCACACATGCTGCATCTGTGTAATATCCTTGTACATATGTATGTGCAATATTTGTTGTTTTCATTCATTTCGCCTCATTGCCTACCAGCTCGCTGTGCATTTGATTTCGGTGTACCCATTTGTGGCCGCTTTGTCGCAGTTCTATGTAGTCCATACAAAAAGGCAATGATTTATTCTCAAGCACTTCCATCAGCAAATCAAGAGCAGTCGCCAGTAAAAAAGCTTTATAAAGCACCACACCACTCACTTTTGCATAGTCACTTATGTACATATGTACATAGGTATTTGAGTTGTTGTTTTCTTGGTTAATTTTTTTCCTGTGAGATGCATTTTATCACCTGCCTGCTGCTCAAGTTCAATGGGCGTGCAAGCGAGTTGCAGTGGTGTGGCCTGACTGGCCGCCCCCGCCTTTGATTGACAGCGCAGTGCATTGAAGTGAAGGCTCATTTGAATAATTTTCTTAAATATTCAAGTACGTGTGAGTCAAGGACGCTTACATTTAAATATCATATACATACATACACAGATGCGATTGAGTTTAAGTGTACGTTGAGCTGTTAATTCAGCGAGTTAAGTAATTCATTATCTTAATTTAAAATGAGTCAGTGTGAGAGAAGGCATTGTAGGTACTTTGAGTAGCGCGAATGAGCTTTGTACAGAAAGTGGTGCAAAAAGTGTTTCAAATTCTTGAGTGAGATTCATTAAAACTGATTTAGAAGATATAGTTACTATCGCCGTGATCGAAGGTGGGCTATGAATTTCTTTTCTTCGTTCTTGGTTATTGAAATTTTCAATATCATTTAAACATTTTTTGCTCTTTGACCTAAGAGTGTTTCTATTTGTACCTTTCGAAAGGTTTTATAACCTGAATTCTAATTTAATGGAAAAAGCAACATCGTATAACCAAGTTTCATTACATTGGCATTAAAAATTTTTGGGTCCGTATTATTTTCTTTTCAGTGTTATCTTATTGTTGATTTTCGTATTCTTATTCTTACCTTTCCTCCACTCCATTGTTCCATATTTAACCAGGTTAAATTATCCAATTGTGTGTCGTAATAACCCAATTTTTCATATTTTCCATTCGCCATTTGTTCGATTTGTGTTAAGGCAATACGATCGCCTTGCGAGCTGAAGGCAACGACACCCTGTAAGAGGAAAACAAATTTATATTATGACTTTGCAGAATTGTATAAATTATGCCACAAGTAAATACATATGTATATGAGCAAATCTCCCGAGTTGTTAAATTTTTCGAAAAAAACATGATTCCATTGCGAAATTATTTTTAAATGAAAACTTAAAAAAGATATTCTAAAAAAGTCCAAATAACAACTCGTGCTCATGTACCCGTAGTTGTGTATGTAACGTATACGCCCGGCAGCAACATCCACAGTCAGCTAACACGTTTACTCGCATGCCTTCATATAAAACTCATATTATTTAAAAGTAATTAAATATTAATTACTATATCAATTCTTTCATGTATATAACAATTTCAGAATGAATTTCGCCGATAAAAATTGTAAAATTAAATTTTTTGTATTTTTTTTTTTCATTTGGTGGCACACTAGGTTTATTACTCAGATTAGTTTGTTTTGGCAAGAAGAACATTTTCACCATTCAATGTTGATATTTTGAAGTATCTTAAACATTTAAAATGAAAAAATCGCTAAATTTCTAAAAGCTGCGTGCTGTCATTTTGTTCATTTTGGTGGCACACTCTTGTAACTATACAGATATACTGTATTTGATGCCAACTTTCATTGCTTCTAATACGAACACTCTATTTAAAAACTTCCCAAAGTTATTAAAAAAAAAACAAATAAAGATTTTTTCTAGTGGCAATGAAAAAATGGGTAATTTCGGTACTTTTTCGGCCGAATAAACGTTTTAAGGCAAAAACTGTTCAAATACTTGATATATTTCTTATTGGCACTTGTTTCTGGAGCTCCATTGATTGAAATAAATGCAAGAAGAATGCCTTAGCGTCTTTTCCAGCGAGAAGGAGAGTGATACTAAAAAGAAAACAACTCGTGAGATCCTTTGCAGTTGTAAGTCATACTGAGCGCCATAAGATCGACCGGGCGATATGAGCATGATTTGAGAAGCCACCGACTTGTTTATGTGAATAAAAACTGGTGGCATTTGAGAAGTGCATATATGTACGCATATCCGTTGCCACTTTTTAGGCACTCACTGCTATTAAATGTTCAAACATTTTGAGTAAAAACTCATCCTCAAAGCAGTTTTACTTAAAAAGTGTATAATGAAGAAAAGATTGGACACTTTTCTTGACTTAATTAAGACTTATTTTTACTCAAATGATTTTTATATGTATGAATGCCATTCTACTACCCATGAAAGCAATTAATTATTCCAGTTAAATGCAAGAAAAATATTGTGACTTAGTTGAGTGCACGTAAATCAAAAGTGCGCGCGCGCATGCTAGTTCGCCTAAAAGCATGCAATAAATTCCCACGTTACCTATTGTGTGCGCATACACATTAAGCGAATGTGCGCAACACCAACAACACCTTTAAACAACCAACTTCGTGCATTTATATTTTACAACGTTTTTTTTTACTTATATTACGCCACTTTTGTTGTAGGTGAGAAAATTCATTGCCGCCATTATTTTGTTGCTTATACTTCTTTTATTTATTTGAATATTTAACTTTTTTTGCTTTGGTTTGTGTTGCCATTTTCCAAGCGCATCTCATAAAAGCGTAATACCGTAAGTGAATGAGGGGCGAAAAATGGCAATGGCAAAAAAACACTTTTCCATTTAATGTTTGCCTTGTTCATATAAAATTAATGACCGATTTTTTTTTGCTTGTATTTGCGGTTGCTGCAGTGAGTTGTGGCGTCGTTGCAACGGGAGTCATTCTGGTGTAGCAGGAATTCGCTTAGAATACCCAGAAAACCAAAAGGAACGATTCAGAAAATTTTTCTGAATTTTTTTTTTTTTCTTTAAGGACGTGAATTTAAATCCAAATACATATTCCGATATTGCTTTGCCCCGCCGCAACTTCTTTTCCAGCCAAAAGAAAAATTTTAAATATTTCAATGCCAAGTAAAGCTGGTTTACGAAGCTGTGTGTATTCACTGTGGTACCCCATAGAGTAAATGCTGCAGAATTTTCTACGCATTTCCGCATTTTCAGCAACCGCAGCCACAGCCACAGCCACGGCAACGGCGGCATCAGCTTTGACTAGCAAGGCAACGATACTCTGTAACCACTGCCAACAGCAACCAACCAACTAACTAGTGGATGACTGCTACAACAGCGAGCATATCCAGGCATGCCTGTGACGCTGCCACTGTGAATTGACAGAGCACCAAAGGGGCGCTCTAATAAAATAGTAAAATAAGTAGTAGCGGGAACTGAGGAAAAAAAACGTTGACATATGCCAGGCGGCAATCAACTCCCGCAGGAGTGCTGGATGTTGTGCAAACGCGTTACTATGTTAAGCAGCTCGAAATGCAGATACCGCTTTTTGTAAATGTTCTTGGCAGTGAAGCGCTTACATTAGGGTGGGTCAATTTGTATGGTAGATTTTTTCGACTATGAGCGTATAGAGCGGAAGGATTCTACGTGTAATTCTAAGCAAATTTGCCGAAGAAACCGTAAGTCTAACATCAATTTGGGATTTACTAAACTACGAAAATAGGTTGCCTAGCATTTCGCCGTAGTGTCGTAAATTAGTGCTTAAATTTTTTTTTTTATAAAAACGTGCTATAAGGGTTTTTTTTTGGCATGCGGAGTCCATTTCTGCACTTAAATTTTTCTTCAAAATTTCAGAATTCTTCTAGTTATGCCATACGCGCATAGTAAATAAAAATTTACCCGCCCTAACTTATGTACATACACATGTAGCCAGTTAAGAGTTGCAGCACCGGCCTCCTGTATGGCGTGCGAGTGTGCAATTCACGCAGGCACAAAAAATGTTCTCACTTGTGTATTTACGCATTGTTGAACGTTTGGCTGCTGCGGCGAGGGCAGCACACAAAATGCTGCGAGTTTATACAAATGTGCATATGAATTTGATAATGTCTATGTGTGTGTTACTTGTTGAAACTATAGTTTTTTCTTCTTAATAGCTGCAGTAACTTTTTGTTTAAAGAGCGCAAAGGACTTGCAGCAGTTTGCTGTGGCGCCACTGCAATGCCATGTATGCATATCCATGTTGCAGCTGATGTACGATACCCATACGGTGTGCTGATGGTGCTGAGGCGAGCATTTTTCTTGCTTTTAACTGCAGCGCTTGGTTGGCTACGAAAAGTTTGTTTGAGCGAAAAGAGCAAAAAATTAGGGGAATGCAAAAAAAAGTGCAGCACTGATACAGCACAGCTATGAGATGAATTTTTTCTCCACTTTGGCAGTTCTCTTATCCAGAATGTTAAGCAAAAATTGTGCGATATTCAAAAATATGAAAACATTTGATAGTCGCTATTCAAAATTCAATTCCATGATGGAAAGGGATTTGACTTAGCTCCACTACTAGTTAGAAGTTAGAGAAATTACACCTATCGAGTTACGAATAGCGATTACGTTGCTGAAAAATAACATAGCTGCTGGAGCGGATGGACTTCCAGCCGAGCTATTCAAGAACGCATCAACTCCTATGCAGAATATGTACGTTACTGTAGTAGAATTCGACTAGAAGATTTGCTGTTTAGTTGACAAAAATACTCTGTTAAAGTGCTTTGCGGCTACCTTATCGTTCGTCTTTTCTTTATTTCGGAAAAAATTTTATCAACTTTCTTTCACCTTTCGCACATAAATTACCTTCAAATAACAACTAAGTTTCCCACTAATACCAACGCCAATTTGGCTATGCTTTTCATAAGAAATGAAATTTCCAAAACCATCTGACATTCAACCGATAAGCGCCGTAAAAGTTTTTCGGTAAACCACAAAAGTCGAGACTTTGCGCTGTCAAAGTTTTTCGCAACAACTGACTATTAGGCGCTATCTGTATAAGTGTAATAATAAATTAACATTGCGCAAGACGTAAATCGAAAAATGTGAAGCGCTCAATAAAGTCGTAAGTGTTGTTGTTGTTGTTGTGAAGCAAACAAAGTTTTATAAAAGGCAAAAGACACAGAGTATCTAATTTGCAAATGTTTTGTGGCAGAGGTGGGCAGGCAAATTGACATATAATTTCTTTGTTTTTTTGTGTATGTTTATTAGGGTGTTCCAAAAATCCATGTGAAAAAGTACATTGGATTATTCTCCCAGAAAAAATATAAACCCCTATTTTTCGGCGGGGCCGGACGCGGTGTGGCGCGCGGACACGGGTCGCCGCGAAGCTACGAAAATTTAATGTTTGAAAGAGCAATAATGCCAATGGATTTTATTTCGCTTTTGAATAGGTGATAATGTCAATTGACTTTATTTCCATTGATCTTGTTACCTGTCACCAATTAGCTTCAGTTGTTACTGATTTATCGCCATTTTCCTGTTTCTGTAAATTATCGTTATACCACGCGCACCTAGGTTATTGCCGATTTCAAAGAATTTGAACATATATATATTAGTCAGACCCTAGGCAAGGTTCGTACCGAGTTTGGTAAGGATTGGTGAAGCATTTCATCATAAGTGGGCGGGGTCACGCCCATTTTCCAACAATTGCATAATAGTATTATATCTTACCAAAACTCTACTTCACACACTAATTTTCAACAATTTGGATCAAATATTTATTGAAATGTCATTTTTTTTCGCATTTTTCGAAAATACCGTTATCTTAATTTTTGCTCGAGTTATCGTGTACACGGACAATTGGACGGACGGACGGATACAGACATGGCTTAATCGACTTCTCTTTTAATTCTGAGCATTTATGTATACATTTGTCTATATCTAACTCGATTCGATTTGGCTGTTACAAACAACCGTTATGTGAAAAAATTTAATATACCCCTGTGCACTAGTGTGCGCGCGGGTATAAATATCGGGGTACATTTTTTTCGATATATAATAATTCTAAGGGTGTGAGTGTATTAAAATTTCGACTTTGCTTATTTTGGACCACCCCAATGTATATACATACATATCTACTTGTACATATGTACATACATATTTATTCACTTACATATGTACATGGAAGAAGAATGAATAGTAAAGAAAGATTAAATATTAGACTTAATGCTCGCAGGTTACGAATTGGGCATTCATACAATTAAGTGGGTAAATTAAAATTTGTTGCCAACCGTCCGCCTTTGGAACTTACATAAATGCTGCGATAACAATTTTTTTCTTGCTCTAATGTCACTCATTAATTGTGATCTTTATCGCTAAAATTGACTCTTTCTTCTCTTTCTTTTTTCCGCTTTTATCTTAATTTAATTGATATTTTTACTATCTAAATTTCCTCTCGGGCCTCTCCGCATATAAATTGCCTAGAAAGCTAAACTTTTTAATTCATTAGGCACTTAATGTGCTGTGAAAGCATAACTATGCCTTTGAATGTAGTAATAATGTAATCCTTTGTGTGGTTCAATTGTCGATATAGCAGGCAGAGAGGAGCGTGCAGAGCTAAAATTAAGGGAAAAGTTATTACTTAGTTGGCTAATGAAAATAGAAAATGTGTAGATATAATGAAAACCTTATGATTTGTTAGAGTCCATTGAATTTATTGAATTTAGTGTTTTTTTTTTTCTAAGAGAAAATCGTTCAATACCTTACACCATCTCCTCCATTGCTCGATTTTGCCAGCATATTCACATGCAAAATATTTTAGGGCTCTGTATTTTCCTTTTTACATTTAATTAAAATTTATGGGTAAATATTGACAAAAATCCCCATGCAAACATTCTCTTCAATATTAAATAAATGCATATGTACATACATATGTGTGCTTTGTCGTCCAAGCACTCAATTGCTGAAAAGCCACAAATTAATTCTCAAAAATTTCTTCGTCTTTAGTAGTCAAATTAATTTATAGTTTTGCGAATTTCCATACGAAAAGCCCAGCTTACAAAGTTAGAAGTTGTTGTTGGGTCGTTATATGAATAGGCACACAAACATTTATAAGCATAAGTGTGCACTTTGATGTGGCAAGTAGCATAGTTTTGGTACATTTGCAAATTTGCCGAAGAGTAAATATAGGAAATTATAAGTTGTTGGTATTTCCATATTCCTTTTACATTTGCAAAGCGTAAATACCTACGAGTAAATACATGTGTGTATGTATACATACATACATATGTATGCGTGCATGCTCTTATGGCTGTGTCAATTTTGAAAACTCCTTTATGTGACTTCTGTAATTTTTGGCAATTTTCCCAAATTGCAATTAGTCGTATATTACATGGCCTTTCATTTGCAACTTCATTTTGCAACTTGGTTTTGTGATTCTTTGCAAAGTCCTGTGTAAGTATGCATAGTAAATCAATTTTACTAAAAACACTGAAAAATTGTAATTTTATTGCTTCAGAAGATAAGGCTTTTAAGACATCAGCTTCCTTTCCTAATAGGCAAAGAAACGTTATTGGATGTACACATAGAGATTCCATTTAGTTTTTCTAAATTTTCAAACCAACATACACTGTAAGAGTGCTATGCATTCGAAAGCAAAAAAAAAAACTAGAAACAGAACAGGAGCTGGTTGTGACCTTGAAATGCAAACAATGCTTCTTTTTCTCTAACGAGGTCATACCAACGGAAATGTGGTAAGGAGAGCTCTTTCGAACTATTCTTTCATCTGCGGATACACCACAAAATCTGCATCATCTAAGAATTAGCTGATTTAAATTAAAAACATGTATTGTCCACACAAAAAAATAAATATTTCGTTTGAAAATTGGCCGATAGGTGGCGCTGGACTCGGACTCGAGATAACTCCAAAACCCCGTATATAAAATTCGATTTGATTTAAATTCAGAACATGTGTTACCTAAATAAATATAAATAATTTTCTTTAAAAATTGTCCCGATCGGTGTCGCTGGAGTTGAGATATCTTTAAAAATGTTGTTACAGTTCGTTTCAAATTTAGAACATATATTAGCCATGTAAAAATAATTATTTCTCCTAAAACTGGAGAAAGAAGAAACAATTATCAAAAAAGAAGATAAAGGGTAATATAAATTTAATGAAAAAATTTAAATAAATGAAAAAAATAAATTTTTTTTTTAAACCAAGCTAACAATTAAAAGAAATATAGTGAAAAGAAGAAAAAAATTAATAAAACAAGATCACACAAATTAAATGAAATAAGGAAATATATGTAGGTTTCTTTCTAAAACAACCAAAAGAAAATTAAATTGAAAAAAAAGAATATACGTTTATAAAATTTTTTAAATAAAAAAAAAAAGAAATTGTTGTTTTTAAAACCATAAAATCCTAAAAAAATTAAATAAAATAAGTTCTTTAAAAATTTAATTGAATTAACTAAATAATTATTTGACTTTTTAGCGCTATAAAGTCTTATAATTAACTAATTTATTTAAAAAGGGGGACAAAAACTAAAATCGTCCTCGGACCTTTTTAATGGAACGCCGGTGCTTTGTACACTCGGCCATTGTGACTATTGGAGTGACGAGAGCTAAATGATATACAAGTACTTTCTCTCAAAATAGCATTCTAGGAGTGGTGAATGAGATAACTTTTTTTCTAAGAGTTTTGTATTGGAATAGCAAAAGTCTTTCAAACTATCTTGTCATTTTTCTTAGCCAGAATCACTCCGTTAAATTCACTAGAGATTCCAAACACTCGAATATTCTTTTACATCACCACCACCACCACATAACGCTATGCAATTGGTCCTCGACCAGCCACAAATTAAAATTAAATACTATAATTGCGACGCTTTTACCTTAAGAATATGAAGAACTACGGTTGCTACCTGTAGGTGGAGCTGCTTGAAGCAGATGCAAAATAATCGATTTTGACCACTGCCTGGTGAATGGCCATTGAAAATTCTCTTCGTATGAGAAAATTGTGTTTACTCATTTTCGTATATTTGTGTGATACCAGCTCAATATATGACCGAGATCTGCTCTCATTACTGAAATTTATAGCTTTTTTTCGGAAAAGCGTTGGGTAAGTTTCTGAAAGTAATCTTTATCCTTATTCGTATTTTTATTCGGATTCGTACTCGTATTGGAAAGAGAGGTACTGAGTACTTGTGTCGCCAGTTTTTTTTTGCAAAAGCTCCTGGAATCTTAAGCTCTTTCATATAACTCAAAACTCTTATGCTTGCGAATTAAGCCAATCGTCTTTAATTCAATCCAACACCTTTAGCTGTACATTTTCTAGGAACTCGAACTTTTGATTGATTTTTTTTTTCTCGAGAGAGAGAGTGCCTTAAGCCAACTTTGCTCAAATAGGATTTATCTAAAAAACTACATACAAGTAAGTAAAACCAAACATTGCCTGTGGAGCTACTTCCAGTAAGCCAATGCAAACGTTGGCAATGAAAATAACATCAAAGTGTAGACTTTAACGTCTGTATTCATACACTTACTTATATACTTATATACTTATATACCACTCAGAACATTACATTTTGCACCTGCCCTGACTGAAGTATGCAAAGAGCTTTGAATGTTGCCCGCAAGCTGAATTGATTTATTTTCACTTGCCGCAGCTGCACACTCCTCATATGCCACATCCTCTAACACTAACACAAACACACTTACCGATATGCCAAGGAATTGTGTAGAATTCATGGCTGCATAAATTTCATCGGCAATTTCCTTGTCCGTATAGGTGAAATCGCGTAACGATTTCTGTCGTTGCTTCAGGCGTTCCATTGTCTTATTGAATGCTAGTGCCACACTCCAGACAGCGTCGTAGGCCAGCGGCGCCTCCTGATAGCCCTCCGGATAGCGATCGTGATTGATGTCGTAACCTTCTTCGATGAGTGCATGATTCAGTCGTTGCCTGCGCGGGGTGGGAAATACGAGTAGCAAAAAAAAAAATAAAATAAAAAATTATAAAATGACAGATTCAAGTTTTGAATTTTTAGCACTTTTGTGATACAACCAAAATACCTTAAAATTCTCATTCAAAGCATTGTCAATTGGCGAAAACTTACCGAAATTCCTCAGCTGTCATGCCGGAAATTGTCGTTTGATTGTTCTGATTCCACATAAGCGCTTCCGTTGTAAGATGTCCTTCGGCGGCGATGCGCATTTGCTCCTTGGTGCATGTAATGCCCTCATTTTCCAAGTTCACTTCGTACCAATTGTCCTCGTACCAGCCTGAAAGTAGGCAAAAACACACAAAAAGTTACACATAAATAAATGGTTTTGGTCTGTATGTCTGTATGCATATATACGAGTATGTGTAAGTAACTAAGTACAAAAGCGCTTAAATAGAAGTAGCAGCGTTAAGTTGTAATACGAAATTGATGCGCTTAAAAGTTGAGCCAAACGTACCAATATATTTGCTCGCGCAGATATTGGCAAGCGAATTGAGTTTGGCGCGAAAAGTGCACACTTTGCTAATTCAAAAGTCATGAGTTCCGCGTGTGAAGTTCGCGTAGGAGCGGCGGTGAGGAAGAAGCAGCTTTGCAATGCTACATGGCGGCGAAGGAAGGTAATATTGGTTGGTTGGCTTTTTGGTAGGTGAGAAGAAAGTCCGCAAGCGACGGAGCGGAAGAGCAAAACAATGGCGTTTGCAACGAGAACTTTGTGTAGTTCACTGATAGACAATGTTGCCAGTTTAGTTATTTTGTAGCTACATTTAGCTATTATTTTCGACGTTTAGCTATTTTTTAGCTTCTTTTAAAATCGAGTTAGCTATTTTAGCTATTTTATTTTATAATTTCATCATTTTTACAAGAGTACAAAAATTGATATTCCGGCCTGCCTAATCCCTCTTTGCTATATCGAGTACATCGTGCGACAAAAACAAAAAAAAATTTTTTAAACACACTAAGCAATCAATAGTTGCGATCCCGTACGAGTCCGGACTAGTCAGAAATAGTCAGAATCAGTCAGATTTTACTGGAAATCGATCCCGTACTCGGTTCTCTGACTATTGAGAGGACAAAAGGAGAGTAAATACGGTTCTCTCTCTGTCAGAAGTTACCAGTTTTAGTCCGAGAATTTTTTGCTGGTAAATTCTGGTACATGTGTCAAACGATCAGCTGTAGTGTGTTTGGCAACCAAATTGTAAACAAAAGAAAAGTGCACTCTGCTAATTCATGTTGAAAAGTATTTAATTACTTGTTTAAGTGGATTCTAATGAATTTGAAAGTATTTTTGGTTATTTACATGTGTGAGCTGAGTGTGTTTATATACAAAATAAGCAAAAATTTACAACCAAAATTTGGAGGTTATGTTGAAGTTGACAGAAGTTACCATTTTTTACTAGAAAGCGATCCCGTACTTTTCAATGTTACTCTCTCGCTCTGAGCGAATTTTTGTTTTTTTGACAGTTTTACTAGTCCGAGTCCGAGGAATACGGGATTGCACCTAATATACTTTCGAAACTATGGTAAAAATGTGTTCGTGTTTTTTTTTCTTATGTCAGGTTTATTTTAAGGACCCTATAATTTCAAAGATATGATTAATTAAAAAAATATTTAAAAAATTCAGTGCAATGTAGAATAGCAATATGGGTAGCAAATGAAAGAGACAATTTTGTGGATTAAAAAAAAAAATTGGTTTACGAGGACGAACGGGTATTGCAAATGCTCTTTTAATTAATTTTATTTTTTTAAGCTGATAAAGTTGGGAGGAACAAATTCAAGAATGTGGTCCTTAATATCTAATTTCAATACTTTCTTCTCCTTAAGCTCCAAATTTAATCTGCCTTAGATCTATAGATTTTTTGATGCCCCTACCGGTTTCTTACATTGCATTGAGCTTTTAAAATAAGCTTTTGAAATAATTTATTTTGCAAATTTCAAAGTCATTTAAAAAATACTGAATTCTTCCTATATTTGGCCCATAAATATATATTGATTTATTTGTGTGTGAAATTAACTGTCACACGGTGGTATTATATGGTAATTATAATCAACCGTCTAGTTTTGCTCACAACGTTTTCCCTTAAATATTGTAATATCTTAACTAAACCAAACACATTTTTATATTTTAGGAATAGATTTGCAGATTTGAGCTAAAATTTTAATAATATTTACTAGTCACAATTATTAGGTATTTTATTACTCCAATTCAATGTATGCAAATATTTAAGTTCGTATCTATATTTATTTAATTTATTAAGCCGGTTTTGAAGAAAAATATTTTAAGCTATTTTGTTTGGCTATGAAATCAATTTTTTTAGATATTCTTTTCGAAGAATTTAGCTATAAGCCTCAATATTTTCTGGCAACACTGCTGATAGATGTGTGCAAGTGATGTTTCATCTGTGTGTGTGTGTGTGTGGGTGTTGGCGCGCACTCTTGTATGCATGCTTGCGCAAGCGTGAGATGAATCTTTTGTTATTAAATTCGAAATTCAAGCAACGATTCAGTGTGGTAATGTGCAGATACCGCTAAATCATTGCTTACATTGCGGAATACTTCGCTGGGTGCATGGGTGGGTAAAGAAATACAATTGCAGGATAAAGGCAAAAATCGCGTCTGCTCCCCGCGCGCATGTATAGAGAGTACTCTCTAAGGGTCAAGGAGTACTCCGAAATCAACCGCAATGGATATAAAAAATGTGGTCAAATTAACATTGCGATGTCCTCCAGCTCTGCATTACATCAGAGTAGCAAAAAACTACTCCAAGGGATTACTCCTTGGAATACCTACCTCTTGACAACACAACCCAATAAACATCGTTAAAACACGAGCAGTGATCGGGTAACAATAAGCTGGTGTAGAGAAACGAGTTGGTCCGCTACAGCATTACAGAGGAGCACTTTGTAAGCACTGCAATATGCCACAAAAATATACCACATGGTTCAACGATTTTTGCAGGATATATATATATATATACATATATGTATGTGTACATATCACATATGTATGTATGTTTGTGTGGTTAGCAACTTAGAAAGCTTTAAAATGCTTAATGTGGTTTATCTGCACTTCTCATTCTATTCAAATTGATTTGTGGATTTGTTACTTTTTATCGTAGCAAATTTAAATCTCATATCCAGCAGCGATAACTTGCGTCAGTAAAATAGCACTTTTGGACTTCTTTATGATGGCGTGATTCAAGTTGAGAGCAATTTATATGATTTAAGTAATTTTTTTAATATTTTATTGTTAGGATACGTGCTTTATCACTTAAGAATGAGCTGAAATGCTTTAGTATACATAGAAATTCTGTATTTTTTTTTGTACTAAGTAGACGCAACAATTGGGAATACTGGATTCTGTGATTCACCCTTATGCGGTTTGGCCCCATGTAAGCTCTGCGAACACTGGATAAATACTACAACCTGCACAGTTACAAGCTCCTCCCGGACTGGAATGAATCGGGGCGGTAAAATGAGATAGCAAGGCCTCAGCTATCGCTGCTGGTGGGGGTTGTGACAGAGCTTTGTGTAATTGGTATTCATGCGCTAAGGTTAACCGTCTTAACTAATCCATATTAAAAAGAAAAAAGAAAAAAAAAATCAAAAAAAAAAAAAAATTAAAAAAAAAAAATAATCAAAAATTGTATTTATGCCTCAGAAGGAAAATTAAATCTTTAAAAGCATGCTACCTTAGTTCGTTCAGATCTTAAGAGTATAGACTATTATTTGATTTTTAAACAATCTGCCTGGCCAGAATTGGTCTCACTTAGACCACTTTTTGCTCATTGCTAGGTACCTTAGACTACGATACCGCCAGTGTCATACATAATCTGTAGCTGGCTTGATAGAGATTGGTGTAAATCTTCCCTATAGTTCCACTTATATTGAAAAGTTTGCCTTTAAATCGCACATCGTACCTAATCCTATTACCACTCAGACCCACAATGTAGATATTAGAAAAATTGTGTATCTACTAGATGTATTTTGTAGTTGGCATCGAAACTCCTACAGATAATAATTGTCATTTTTCTTCTTGTTGAAATTAAAACCCCAAACTGTTTCTCAATTAAGTGATAAAAATGGTTTGAGCCCGAATTTCCTAGCTAAAGTCTGTTTAAGGCCATACAATTTTTTTTCAGGGCCAAAAGTATGGTACCTGTATTCCATAATTGATTTCGCATGAAAAATGCATTTACCATTGAAATTCTGCTATTATTAGAAGCTTTTAGTACCCAAATATGTGCAAACGTATTCTCAGCATGTGTCAATTACATGCTTCAGTAAAAATGGAAATAAATTTAGGAGACACTTGCAAATGTGGCATTGCAAACGTTAATTAACATTCAAAAAACTTTAATTGAAAATTTATTTGTGGCTTGGCATAGCCACAATCATAGCAAACTATAAATAAATAAATAGCCACAGCATTTTAAGTGATTTTTTTTTTTTTGGATCTGAGCTATGAATTTTGTTTTAGTTTTTTCCGGAAATATATGTACATATGTATGCAGATACCTATTTCTGATTTTGGCCGAATTCGTCAATTATACATACATGTTTCTGTCTTCTTTTATAGGATTTAGTATTACTATTATTCAATTTGCATTTCACATTGACTGCATTTTATTCGCTTTTCAATTCAATTAGCCAACTGCACTCCTTCTTGCTCTCCGAAGGCTTAAAGTTAAGTGTTTGCCTATGCATAGTTATTTTCAAATAATTCATCACAAACGACAAAATTTGAGCGCTGTAATACCAGAAAATTTCTTGATCTTAACCAGCATCCATCTTTTGTGCACTCAATAAGCTCTTTTAAACACGAAAAAGACATTTGCAGCAAATCCTTTTAAGCCGGATTTCCAGCAATAAAATGGCATTTGGCACAATTAAAGAAAAGTTTTACATCCTTTTCCGTTTGTCTACTTAAAAATCCGGTTTGTGTGCTTTGCTTTCTTTTCTTATCTTCAATTCTCTTGCGTCTTAGATATTCCTTACTTCTTGCGCAAATATAACTTTCAACTCAAACAGGAAATTTTAATCTTTTCAGCGGCAATTCAATGTGATGGCGTAAACAAATTTATAGCGAATTAATAAGCCTCGAAGAGTGGATGTGATGAAAGGGTAAATGGAGCGCAGCAAACTTAAATAAAGTTGGAGTTTGTGGGAAAAAGGAAGTGGGGTAGCAGTTTGTGCGAAGGAAGAGCAGGGTGGAAACTTATTAAGCTTGAACAGAAGAAAAAGGTAAACACTAGGCGAAGCGGTAGGTATTTTAAGTTGTCCA